TTAGGGCTGTTGTACATAGGGTCGCTATGAGTCACAGGCGACTCGATGGCACATAACAACCACAACAACATTGTAATATATCCACGCATATAAGCAGAGCCAACATGGCAAAACAATGTAAAGTTCTTAATCATAAATACACTGAGGAAATTTGTTGCTAGTCCATATTTTTGTGGGCCACAGGGTCAACTGGCATAGTGTAAGCATCATTTTGCCTCTTTCCTTCCACAAGTGAAAGTTATGCCCCCCACCAACTGCTAAAAACCATAGCTGGGCCCTGTAGAGAGATTGGCCTACCTCCCTTGGATGGGGAAACAACTAGCCCCCACCTTTAATCTCCAAAACACCATTTTGCCTCTTCCCTCCCAAAGGTGATTGTTATGGCCCTGCATGCTAATGAAAACTGGGGCTGGGTCTGCAGCCCTGGGGCCAAAGGAAAAAAAAATTTAAAGAGGATTCACCAATTATACAAGATCCTGTCAAAGCATCACCTTCACCTATATGAGAGTGATGTAAAGGACCTGCCACTGAACCGTCACAGAGAGTAAAGAACTGAGGATCCTGGCTGCACTACTCTGCAGATGCATGATAGTAAACAAAAGAAACGTTGCTTACATTAGTATCCCTTGTCTTGTGCCACTTCTGAGATAAAAGAGGAAAACAGACTTCAGGAGAGAAGACATTATCAAGAGGACATCCTACTTCATAGGACGGTCTTTGTAGGAAGACCAACATCACAGGGGAGTGGAGAAGTAGTAGGTAGATAAAGGCCTGAGCCATCAAATCAGGATTGGCTAGGGGTAGGGGTTTGAGGTGCTGTAGGGGCAAGGAAAGGCAACTGAGCTGGATGTAGCAGAGCAGGGGTGGGGGTGGAAACAAGACACATAGGCCTAAAGGGGTGGTGGGTTGGACCAACACCTGGTTTATTACCTAAACAATGAGAAAGATCTCTCATCTGCTCTTTTAGGCAAAATTCTGGTCTGTCAAATATTGCTTTAGAGTTGGGCATTCAAATTAAAACAGAGTAGGGACAAAGATTAGCCATCCACTGCTGAAATAACAGGCCTCAAAAAACCCTGTGTACTCTAAATGCACTCTACACATTTTGCAGATCTAGCCGATATGGCACCAGAGGCAGAACCTTCTCACTGGGAATCACAGAGGAGGAGGAACAGTTGCAAACAGACACTACTGATTGAAACATGGAATGTGACAAGTATAAATTTAGGAAAAGTGGAGATTAAGGAAGAAATGAAATGCATATATATTGACATACTAGGCATTGGCGAAATGAAACAAGTTGGCATGGTCCTTTTTGAATCAGATAATCATAATCTTCTATGCTGGAGATGAAAAGGTGAGGAAAAATGAAGTTGCTTTCCTAGTTAAAAAGATCATTTCTAGATACATCTTAAAATACAATGTTGTGAGTGACAGGACAATATCCATTCCTGTTCAAGGAAGATCTGTTAATACCTCTATCATTCAAATATATGCACCAGGGCCAAAGAGGAGGAAATAGATCACTTCTACCAACTTTTGCAGTCAGAAATCGATTGAACATGCAACCAAGATACTTTGATAATTGTGGGTGATTAGAATGCAAAAGTTGGGAATAGGAAGGAAGGATCAGTAGTTAGAAAACATGGACTTGGTGACAGAAATGAGGCTGGAGGCGGAAAGATAGAATTCTGTATAATCAATGACCTATTCATTGCAAACACCTTTTATAAGAAGCATAAATGGCAACTGTACACATGGATGAGGTCTACTCAGGAATTGACTACACCTGTAGAAGAAATTGCTGGAGAAGCTCAATATCAGGTGTGAAAAGTAGGCCAGGTGTTGATTGTGGAACAGACCATCAACTACTCATTTACAAGTTCAAATTGAAGCTAAAGAAAATCAAGTCAAATCCATAAGAACCAAAGTTTGACCTGGAATCTATCCCATAGAATTTAAAGACCATTTCAGGAACTGGTTTGAAATCTTGAGCACTAATGAGTGAAGAACCAATTGAGCTGTGGGAGGATATAAAGAATATCATTCATGAAGAATGCAAAAAGTCACTGCAAAGACAGAGGAGCAAGAAAAGAGCAAGATGAATGTCAGAAGAGACTGAATATTGCACTACCATGCTGAGAAGCCAAAGCAAAGCAAAGCAAAGGAATCCAGAAGTTAAGGAGGTGAACAGACAATTTCAAATTGGAGCATGGAAAGATAAAGCAAAGTATTATAATGAAATGAGTAAGGAGCTGGAGTTGGAAAACAAAATGGGACAAACTCACTCAGTATTTCTTAAGCAGAAGGCGCTGAAGAACAAATTCAAGCCTCAAGTTGCAATACTTAAGGATGCTGATGTCAAAAGGTTGAGTGACCCAGGAAGCATCAATAGAAGATGGAAGGAGTACACAGAGACACTATAGCAAAATGAATTTTGCTTTAAAAAGTTTTGCTATAATAATTCTTTTGCAACACAAAAGAATTTCATGAAACAACATATGATCAAGAACCTATGGTAATGAAGGTGGAAGTTCAATCTGCACTGAAGGGAATGGAAAAAATCAAGATGGAATATCAATTGACATATTTCAGGAAATAAATATTTCCCTGGATACATTCACCAGGGTATGCCAGGAAATCTGGAAGACAACTAACTGGCCAACTGATTGGAAGAGATCTGTGTTTATTCCCATCCCCCAAAAAGATAACCCAACAGAATGTGGAAATTATTGAATGGTATCATTAATTATCACACACAAGCAAGGTCCTACTGAAGATTATCTAGAAACAAGTAGAACAGTACACAAGCAGAGAACTGCCAGATGTGCAGGCTGAGTTTAGGAGAGCCCATGGCACTAGTGACATCATAGCCAATGTTAGATTTTGGCTGAAAGCAGAGTACCAAAGGAATGCCTATCTGTGTTTTCTTAGCTATGCAAAGGTATTTCACTATGTGGATCACCACAAATTGTGGCTAACCTTGAGGAAAATGGGGATTCCAGAATACTTAAATATGCTCATGTGAAACCTATACTTGGACCAGGAAGTAGTAGTCAGAACAGAACAGGGAAACACTGTATGGTTCAGGATCAGGAAAGGTGTGCATCAGGAATGTATCCTGTCTCCATATTTAATCGATATGAAGAACAGATCATTTGGGAGGTTGGACTTTATGAGGAATATGGTATCAAGATTGGAGGAAGACTCATCAACAATGTGCGTTTTGCAAATGACACAATCTAGGTTATTGAACCTGAGGAGGATGAGGTGTTTGCTGCAGAAGGTGAAGGACTGTAGTCTTCAATACTTATTGAAGCTCAGCATCAAGAAGACAAAGATTGTTACCACTGGGCCAATTAACAGCTTCATGATGGATGGAGAAGAGATTGAGATTATTGATAATTTCAACTTGCTTGGATCCGAAGTCAACACTCTTGGCACCAGCAGTCAGAAAATAAAAAAAAAAAAAAAATGAATTGCATTGGGAAAGTCTTCTGTCAGGGACCTCTCTAGAGTACTGAAAAGAAACAATGTCAGTCTGGAGACTAAGGTACACTTTATTCATGCCATAGTCTTCACAATTACTTGTTATGCATCTGAGATGTGGACAATAATTAAGGATGATAGAAGAGTTGATGGCTTTTACTTGAGGTGCTTGAGAAGAATGTTAAACATACCATGGGCTGCCAAGAGAACCATCTGGTCTGTCTTAGAGAGGGTGAGACCACACTGCTAAGGATTTTGAGGCTCTGTCTCATATACTTTAGGCATATGGCCAGGAGGGACCAGTCCTTGGAGAGGGACATCATGCTTGGAAAGATAGAAGGACAGCACAAGAGAGGAAGGCCCAGGATGAGATGGATTAACTCAGTGATTTGAGAAATGAATTAAGTCTGTTAGAGATGATGAGATTGGCTCAGGTTAGAGCAGGTTTCAGAGTTAATGTACATAGGGTTAAAGTGAATCTCAGGCAATAACATAACATAACACAACATAACATAACATAACATAACATAACATAACATAACATAACATAACATAACATAACATAACATAACAAACAACAGCATGCTTTATTAGTCAAGTACTCCTGAAAAAAGAGTTAGTGAGAAAAGGAATTCAAACATGCCAACTACCTGCAAGCATTTAAAACCTATATAATTCTATTAGTTCCCTTCTAGACATAAATTCTGCCCTCTATAATTTTCTAGTTCTGAAAGTCTAGATGAATATGAAAGGATAGTCAAGCATAGAAAGATAGAAGGGGAAGAAAGACATGATAACAGAACATAGAAGAAACTATGATCATAGAAGAAACTGAGAGGCTCACCTGATTGCAGACAGGCTTGTGCTTCAGTCCTGGCTTGTTCAGGATCATCTCCAGCTGCTTGCAGTTAAAGTTGGACACTCCGATGGACTTGGTCAACCCTGCATCCTTACATTTCTCCAGGGCCTGAGGAGGAATGCACCATGATGAGTATGTAATTTAGATGTGGGGTGGGGGGATGGAGAGATTAGCACCATTAAAAGAAACATCTATCAAGAAATGGCCATAACACGTTGGCATTGAATTCCATGAAGAAGAAAAGTAATTCTAGAAAAACTGGAAGATGGTGACAACCAAAGAAAGAAGGATACTTTTCTAATGTAAAATTCTTCTGATGATTTTCAAGCTCACACTGAGTCAAAGTCATTTTTATAGTTTACCATGGTGTGGCCTCCATTTGTTCTCTGAATCTATTCCCACTCTTCTCTATTTTATTTTCTTCCAATTTTTTGAGAGATTTTGGTATTTCTTGTACTCAAAAGCCATTTACCTCTTAAAGATCTTTCTTCTACTGTCTTCCTTGTCTAGATTTCCTTCCCCTAAAAATTCTATGGCTCACACCATACAACAGACCTCAATTCATTTGTATCAGTAAAGCTTTTCCTTAGAAGACTTTATTATAGAAATACACTCATCCATCTTATTTAATATGTAGTAATAAATACTCAGAGATTAACATTAATAAAGACACAATCTGTCATTCACTCTCCTGTAGCCTTCATGATCAGATAATAAAAATTTTTATTCCTTTAACCTCAAATAGTAACTTTCCTGGGTTACTATGTCAATAGACTTATAGTTTCTCAAGTTTCTTTCAGAAACAATTTTGCAGTCTGGAAATGCTGCTTAAGGATAAAATAGAATTCTAGATCTTCAAGGTTAATTTGAGATCACTCATCTGATTCTTGATTTTAAAGATGAGAAAAATGAGATTGAGTGTTTTTTTTTAAAATTCCTCAAGCTCACACAATATAAGACTCCTTCCCTCTCCAGCTTTACCCTCACCCTTGGATTTATCATCTTTGCTGTGTCTTCCAATCACTCACCTCCCATGTGGCACAAAGATCCACTGTGTCAAACATTGATTTTCCATGTTCATCTTTGGGTAATAACTCCTCCCCAGGCTGGAATAGAAGTAGGCATTAGAGAGATGTCACAAAGTAGTCTTCATCTTTAGTCATGTGAGATATGTGGAAAACTGGGACACCAAGCCTCTATGAGGTAGATGGAGGAACTCATCAGATAACAGATGTAAAATGTTTTGTATTTAGAGTTGTAATGGATGTGTTGTAAGCACAGGCTTCCTATAATTCCCCCATCTACTATATATTTGAATTATTGTCACTTTTGATGGTAGCCTTGTGGCTCAGCGGTAAGGATTCGTGCTGCCAACCCACAAACATGTGGTTCAAATCCACTAGCTGTTCCACTAACACTTCCTCCTGTGCAATTTACAGTGTCTAAAAAGCTGCTGGAGGGTCAGCTATGAATCAATTATGACTTGATGGTACATAAAAACTACAAAAACAATGGTTGTCTAGTGACTAAGGAGTTGTGTTAGACACTCAAAGTATGCAGTGCAAAACCATAAACAGCTCTGTGAGAAAAAGATGAGCAGTTTCCTCCTGTTCATTTACAGTATCTGAAAACTCACTGGAGGTTCAGCTATGAGTTCCATTCAACAGCAATGAATTCGAGTATGTACTAATATTTTACTTAAGTCTTATGACTTATTTCTCTTTTCTACCTGTATATTTTATTTTTTTTTTTTTACAAAGGCAAGGCTGGTGTGTCCAAATTTATTGAAAATATTACAGCACAGCAAACAGACTCAAACAGCTCCACGTGGTGTTTTGAAATTCATCCCTGTGAGAGGCATCTCCATTAAGCTGCAGGAGGAGGAGAGAGAAAAGAGAGATAATTATGTACCAGAGGTTTCAGCCCTGGATCAGGAGATCATTGAAGTAGATCCTGATACTAAGGAAATGCTGAAACTCTTGAACTTTGGCAGTCTGTCCAACCTCCAGGTCACTCAGCCCCTCTCTGAATCCGCTTCATTAGATGTGTGACATAGCCTGCTATCTTGTTCCGGAGTTTCTTGCTGGGAATAATGGCGATCTCCTCACACACGCGCTTGTTCGTGTGGAAGTCATTACCCAGGCGCGTGTAGTATTTCTCAATGATGATCCGGGCTACCTTCTTCACGGTTTTGGTGCGAACGCGGCCCATGTTGGCGGGTCCTTGGTGAAAGAGCTGTATATTTTATTTTTATCAAAGGCCCCTTTCACATGGAAAGTCAGTAAGTTACATGTCATTTATTTCAATAATAATGTTGTTGCTGCTAGGTGCCATTGAATTGGTTCCAACTCAGTGCTGGAGATGAGTCTGATTGAGTTTTGTGTGACTCAATGCTGTTCCTATTTTTAACAGAACAAAACCTTGCCTGAATCTGTACCAGCTTTATAATTTCCACGGTGCTTAAATCATTGTGCCATCACTGTGCCAATTAATCTCATTGAGGATCTTCCTCTTCTTTGATGACCCTCATTTTACCAACTAATGATGTCCCTCTCCAGGACAATAAGGAACTGAACATACACCTAAACTAAGCTACAACTCAGAAATCAGAATTCCTTATCCTAAGCACATCTTTGTTTTCTTGACATTGAGATGCAATTCACATTGAAGGCTGTATTCTTTGATCTTCTGCAACAAATTCTTCAAACTCTTCTTACTTTCAGCAAGCCAGGTTGTGTCATCTGAATAAAGCATGTTATTGATGAGTTTTTCTCCATTCCTGATGCCACATTCCTCTTTATAGAGTCTAGCTTCTCACATAATTTGCTCAGCATACAGATTAAATAGGTATGGAGATAGAATACAACCCTGAAAACACTTTCTTCTTAATTTTAAACCAAGCAGTGTTCCCCTGCTCTGTTTACACAATAGCCTACTACTGGTCTAGGTATAGGTTTCACATGAGCGCAAGTAAGTGTTCTGGGACTCCCATTCTGCTCAATGTCAGCCATAACTAGTTATGATCCACACAGTCAAATGCCTTTGCATAGTCAATAAAGCACAAATAAACATTCTTCTCATATTTTTTACTTTCAACCAGGATCTGTCTGACATCAACAATGATATCCCTCGTGCCATGGCCTCTTCTAAGTCCTGCTACAACTTCTGTCAGTTTCCTATCTATGCACTGTCCTAGCAATTTTTAATGATCTTCAGCAGTATTTCAGCTTGCATGTGATATTGTTTGATAGTTTCTAAATTCAATTGGATCACCTTTTTTGGGAATGGAAACAAATACGAACCTCTTCCAATCCACTGACCAGACAGCTGTCTTCTAAATCTCTGGCCATAGACTGGTGAGCACACCCAAGGCTTCATCTGTTAATTGAAACAAATCAATTGATATCCTATTGATTCCTGGGGATTTTTTTTTGTCAGTGCCTTCAATGCAGCTTCTGCTTCCTCCTGCATTACCATAATTCATTTGGTACTTCCTGAAATTTGTCATTGTCAATCAATTCTTTGTGAACACTGGACTAATAGGCAACATTGTGATGTACAGAGAAGTGATTTAAACTGTCAACAACTTCATCTTACTTGCATACATAATTAACATCCTTGGTACCAGCAGTCAGGAAATAAAGAGAAACATTGCACTGGGGAAATCTGTAGTTAGGGACCTCTCCAAATTATTAAGGGGTAACAATGTTAGTTTGAGGACTAAGGTACATGTGATCCAGGCCATGATCTTTCCAACCACTTGCTATACATCTAAGAACTGGACAATGAATAAGGATGATAGAAGAAGAATTGATGCCTTTGAGCTGTGATATTGGAGAACACTGAGCATCCCATGGACAGCCAAGAGAACAAGCAGATATGTCTTGGAGAGCATGTAGCTGGAGTGCTCTTTGGAAGCAAGAATGTTGAAGCTTCACTTCACATACTTTGGGCATATTGCTAGGAGTGGCTATTCCTTGGAGAGGGACATGATGCTTGGATGTATGGAGGATCAGTAAAGGAGAGGAAGATCCTCTACTAGGTGGTTTGACATGGAGACTGCCACAATGGGCTCTTAAGTGTCAGGTAGTGTGAAGATGGCACAAGATAGGATGAGATTCAGATCTGTTGTTCATAAGGTCTCTATGAGTTGTATTTGACTCGATGGCACCTAACAAAAACAAACACATTAATGGCTCAAGGATAGGAACATGAACCAAATACAGGTAACTTAAAACATAGCCTATTATTTTGTATCCTTCCTCAGTATTATAATCTATATACCCTCTTAAGAAAGCTTAATCCAACCTTTTCATGCAAGATTAGTTATACTGACAGTGGAAATGAAATAAACTTAATTGTGAAAATTTCTAACCTTCAGTGCAGTTGGCCAATGAATAATGTAGAGATCAACATAATCCAGTTGAAGTTTTTTCAGTGACTTTTCTAAGGCTGGCCGAACCAACTCTGGTTGAAGGAACGTCATCCAAAGCTGCAGAGATTAAGAATGGAAGGTGTGCTTCATCAATACTTAGAGAACTTAGTGAAGAGCTACAGTGACAGATGGAATATGGACATGATTTGTTTAGCAAATCTAAAGCTGAAATTTGTTTGTCAACATTACTGATATTGAATTAAACTTAGATCATTAACACAAACAAGACAAATATCAATCTGGACTGTAATTAGCAGGAATAGAAACAATTTTGGTGTTTCATTTTGAATTAGAATAGAGATAAATGATCAATATATCCAAAAGGGATGGGAATACTGCCTTATGAAAAGACAGTGAAAAGGGATGAGGCAAATAAAAGGAAGGAGATGAAATGAATGTGTTAAATGTTATTGAGAACAATGACATAATAGTTGTGCTGAGAGGATCCTATTAGAGGCACTTGAGAGGTGGCATCTATCCATTTTGAAAGCACTGCCGAACTCCTAGAACTTTATTAGCTTGTTTATCCAAATATTTAGATATTTTTGATACTGAACTCAAGGGGTTCTTTCCAATAAGACAGCCAGACTACAGTATCCATAAGCACTTTATTACAGATCTGGGAGGACAGCGAGTTCCCCTCAAAAACTGCCTCCCCACCTGGGAATTGTCATTAGGCTTTTAAACCAGAGCTGGATACTAACTCACTAAACAATGCATTTTTGTTAGTAAAATTAAAGAATTTCTACATTTGAAAAAAAATTTCACACACAGATACCAGTAAACAGGCAACCTACAGAATAGTTAACACATGACTGAGAAAAACAGGCCCTAAAAAGACAAAGGCTAACTCAGAAAAGGCTCCCCTCTCCTCCTGGCAAACAGTCTGATTAAGATACAATTTACATATGGTTGAGAAAAACAGTTTGAAAGATGTAATGGCTGATCTAGGAGAGATGCATTGCCTCTTCCAGTAAACAGAGAGATTAAACTACTTTACATGACAGAAGACAGGAAAGGAAGAATCCTAAGGCAAAGTAACGAGTTTTGCATGCTGGAGAAAACTGATGTCAGTTTTATAACTATAGTTTTATAAGTGATACATATTTACCACCCCATTATTTTTACTGGTTAAAAATGAGATGATCATGGTGGCAAAAACTATGCTTTTGAGTTTTTCTTTTATTTGATCATCTCGTGTAAGCTCTACTAATAATTCGGTTATATTGTTGGCATATCCACTGAAAAATAGGTATCAACTAACAATCATTTTCAACATCCGAATTGTGTTTGAATAGGCAAATAAGTTTCATAAACTTAGTTTAATTCTATCTTTAATCCTGCTTTATAAAGGAAGAATTAGTACCTCACAGTTGCTAGACACAATTTAAGATAGGTTAGCTCTATCTTCAGTAGTGTCAGGCCTGGACCAAGGTCAAAGGAAGAACAAAGAATTCAAGGAATATCAACATGTCAACAAAGGGAGTGAACAGCCTCAACTACCATGGAGTGATCCTCTCTTCCCTCCCTAAAAGATCACCCACCTGGCTAAACCACAATTGAATGTGCCTCTTTAAAGACTCTTACTATAAAAACCCTGCCCTAATCAACCTGAAGGCTTGATATTTCCCTGGTCTGTCTCTCTGCCTGACTCTCTCTCTGCAGACTAAGGAATTCTGTCCAGGAGCCCCCTTAATAAAGCGTCTTTAGCTTGTTTTCTTACTCTGGCCCCTTCCTTGAGTCCTTGGCCTTATATCCACTGCAAAGACCTAACAAGTACTACTCACATAGTTCTCTTATATTGTTCTGTGTATTGACAGAGGTGAGGTTTGAGATTCAGAATGTTAAAAATTTTGCCACAGCACATTGGCAATAAGAAAAGCTGTAATTTGATCATAGATCTGTATCATCCATGCCAAATCACACAGTTTTAGGCTGAGCTGCAAATTAAAATATTTAGACTCTTAAGAGTTGTGCATGTTGCCAGAGCCACCAGCACTGCTGGAACCACCAGCCCTGCTGGGTGCCAGCCCCACAGGGCACCAGCCAGACATATGCAAACTGACTGAGGTTCTTGCACAACCCTGCCAGGCATGCAACCTGAATGAGGTCCTGGCACATCCCCACACGGGCAGGTAGACCTGCCAAACACCAGTGGGACAGCTGCAAACTGAGTGAGGTCCTCACACATGCCCACCTGGAAGCTAGCCTTGCCTGGATGCCAGTCAGACATCTGCAACCTAAGTGAGGTCCCCACACATCCTCACCCAGGAAGGTAGCCCTACTGAGCACAAGCCAAACAGCAAGTTTGAGTAAGGTTCCTGTGTGGGCTCATCTGGACAGCTAAAATCTGAATGAGGTCCCCAAGAGTGGCTACCTGACAGGCATCTGAGCACAGCCCCCCACCCCTGGCATATGCCTGTGTGTGTGCCTGTCCCGTCTGTTCCCCACACCACCCTCAGCATTGCATCTCCTCATGTCCAGTCAACTAACTTCCTTTAATCTGGAGCACCTTGGTCTGACTTAGCTGTAACAATTATTCAACAGAAGAGGCCACTTTCCCAGGCCTTTAACAGACACTTCCCTTAGCTCAGAAGTTCAGAAAGCAAGACAGGCAACATAAATGCTATGCCCTCTTCTGTAGCAGTGACAGCAAATAAAAAATTTATTATTGCCTCGGGCACAAAAAAACTCTACTGCAGTAATGTCATGTAGGAAGCATGCCATCTCACACCATAGACAAGTGCAAAGCAAGATGTTACACCCCCAAAAGTGACACATTATCAGTGGATTTCCTGAAACCAGAAAGTCTTATGGAACTTTCTGACACAGAATTTAAAAGAACAATGATTAAATATTTTCAGTGGGTGAGGAAAAAACTTGAACAATTAAAGGACACTGCAAGCAAAAACCAGGAGGAGCTTTAAAAAATAATCCAAAACAATGCAGATAAAACAAAGAAGGCATTAATGGCTCTGGAAAAACAAGACCAGGATGCAAGAGATGTGGTCCAGTATCTCAGAGGCTGTCAACATGATGGAGGGACATATGAACAGAGTTGAAGAGATGGAACATAGAACCAGTGAAGTAAAAGACAGAATTGTCACCACTGATAGACTAGAGCAAGAAGCAGAGTCAAAAAGGAAGGGAAAAGAAGAAAACCTAAGAATAATGTGGGACATCATCAAGAGAAATAACATGTGCATCAACGGAATCTCAGAACAGGAAGAAGCAAGTAAAGGCACTGAAAAAGTTGTGGAAGAATTACTAGAAGAAAACTTCCCAGGCATAAGAAAATATATATTCAAGAAACTGAGAGGACACCATTTAGAATAGACCCCAAAAGAAAAACACCAAGGCATATCACAGTTAAATTTGCAAGAAACAAAGATAAAGAGAGAATTCTGAAAACAGCAAGGGAGAAACAGAAAGTAACCTATAATGGAGAGCAGATAAGACTAAATGATGATTTCTCAGCAGAAACCATGTGAGCAAGAAGACAGTGGAATGACATATATCAAACACTAAAAGAACACAACTGTCAACCAAGACTACTATACCCAGCAGAACTCTCCATCAGATATGAAGGAGAGATCAAGGTATTCTCTGAAAAGAAGAACCTAAGGGATTTTGTAAAAACAAGATCAGCATTTCAGAAAACACTGAGAGAAGATCTTCTTACAGAGGTTCCACAGAAAGCAGGATGGACCACAGTAACTAGCAACAACACCAAAAAGCATTCAACACAATGACAGCAACAAAACCGTGTCTTTCAATAATCATACTGAATGTGATAGGTTTAAATGCACCACTGAAGAGAAAAAGAGTAGCAGATTGGATAAAAAACCCAAAATCCATCTATATGCTGTCTACAAGAGACAAATCTGAAAAGGAAAAACAAATAAAGACTAAAAGTAAAAGGGTGGGAAAAAATATACCAAGCAAATGGCAACCAGAAAAAAGCAGGAGAAGTGATATTAATCTCTGATAAAATAAATTTCAATGCAAAAACCATCACAAAGGGCAAGGAAGATCACTACATAATGCTTAAAAGGTCAATAGAATAAGAGGATATAACAATAATAAATATCTAACAGCACATGAACAGAGAAATGCCTGAAGTGCAGGCTGGATTTAGAAGAGGCCGTGGCACTAGGAATATTATTATTATTGTTAATGTCATATGGATCTTGGATGACAACAGAGAGTACCAGAGGAATGTCTATCTGTGTTTCACTGACTATGCAAAGGCATTTGACTGTGTGGATCACAAAAAACTCTGGCTGACTTTGAAAAGAATGGGAATCACAGAACACTCGATTGTAGTTATGTGAAACTTATGCTTGGACCAGGAGGCAGTCATCAGAACAAAGTAAGGAAATACTGCATGGTTCAAAATTGGGAAGGATGTGTTTCAAGGATGTATCTTATCTTCATATCTTTTCAATCTATATGCAGAACAGATTATCAGTGAGGCTGGGCTCTATGAGGAGCAGTGTGGTGTCAGCATTGGAGGTAGACTCATCAACAATCTGTGTTATGCAGATGACAAAACCCTGCTTGCCAAAACTGAGAAGGACCAGAAGCACTTGCTGCAGAAGGTCAATGATTGCAGCCTTCAATATGGATTGAAGCTCAATATAAAAAAAAGAAACACAAAACCACACAAAGATTCTCACCACTGCATCGATTGGCAGCATCATGATAGATGAAGAGATTGAGATTGTTGACAGCTTCAGTTTGCTTGGCTTTACAATCAACACTCTTGGTATCAGCAGTCAGGAAATAAAAAGATTAATTGCTTTGGGAAAGTCTGTTGTCAGAGACCTCTCCAAAGTACTAAGACTAAGGTGTGCCTAATACAGGCCATGGACTTTGACACTAGTTGCTATGCTTCAGAGATCTGGACAATGACTAGGGATGAGGGAGAGTTGATGCCTTTGAGCTTTGGTGCTGGAGAAGAGTATTGAATATACCATGGGCTGCTAGGAGAACAAACAAGTTGGTCCTGGAGAGGGTGAAGCCAGGCTTCTCCTTGGAGGCAAGGATTCTGAAGCTTCATTTAACATACTTTGGATATGGTCCAAGGCATAACCAGTCCTTAGAGAGGGACATCATGTTTGGGAGGGTGGACGGACAGCTCAGGAGTGGAAGACTATTGATGAGATGGATTAATACCATCAATGGGGAAATGGGGATAGGAGTGTCAGAGACAGTATGTTTGGCAAGGGATAGAGCAGTGTTGTTATGAATGGCAAGCTATTCGACAGCACATAACAACAACAACAACAATGCAGCAAATGATAGAGCTGCAAAATATTTAAAACAAACATTAACAAAACTGAGAAAGGAAATAGTCAACACCATTATAGTAGTTGGAAACTTCAATACACCACTCTCAAGAAAAGATAGAACTACCAGTAAGAAACTCAACAAAGATGCAGAAGAATTAAACCCACACAATAAACCAACTTGATCTCATAGATACTGATAGGCTAATGCATCCAAAAAACCCCACAGTACACCTTTGTCTCCAATGTGCATGGAACATTCCCCAGAATAGATCACATTTTAGGTCACAAGGCAAGCATCAATAAATTTTAAAAAATTGAAATAACATAAAGCATCTTCTCAGAACAAGATGATACAAAATTAGAAATTAATAACAAGAGAACAAAGGGGGGAAAACCCATACATTAGGTAAGTGAATTACACCTTGCTTGAACATGAATGGATACTAGAAGAAATAAAAAATGAAATTAAAAAGTTTCTTGAAACAAATGACAGTGAAAACACCACTTACTAAAACCTCTGGGAAACAGCCAAAGCAGTAAACAGAGATCAGTTTATAGCAAACATATAAAAAGGCAAGAGAAAATGACCATTGACTCTCTAACCCAACATCTCAAACAAATTGAAAAAGAAAAGCAAGAAAACCCAACACCCTCTAAAAATATTGAAATTATAAAAATTAGGGCAGAAATGAATGAAATACAAAAGAGAAAACCAATTGAAACCATTAACAAAAACTAAGAGTTGGTTCTTTGAAAAGGTCAATGAAATCAACAGACCCCTGGCAAAGCTAACAAAAGAAAGAAAAGACAAATAATTTGAATAAAAGATGAAACAGGCAATGTCACAACAGAACCAACTAAAATAAAAAAGCTAATGATGGAATATTATGAAAAATGATACTCAGACAAATATGAAAACCTAGAGGAAATGGACAAATATTTATGAATACACAACCTACCCAAACTGACACCAACCAAAATTGAACACTTGGATAGACTCATTACAAAAGAAGAAATTTAAAAAGTAATAAAACAACTTCCAGCCCAAAAAAGCCCTGGGCCAGATGGCTTTACAAATGAATTTTATCAAACATTCGGAGAAGAACTGTCACCAATTCTACATAAACTATTTCAGAAAAATAGAAAAAGATAGAATTCTCCCAGACTCATTCTATGAAGCAAACATATCTTTGATACCAAAGCCAGGTAAAGACACCACCAAAATAGAAAACCACAGGCCAGTATCTTTCATGAATATAGATGCAAATATCCTGAATGAAATGCTGGCCAATAGAATGCAATGACACACACACACACAAATTCACCATGACCATGTGGGACTCCTAACAGGTACGCAGGGATGGTTCAACATAAGAAGAACAATCAATTTAATTCATCACATTAACAAAACAAAGAATAAGAGCCACATGATCCTATCAATTGATGCAGATAAGGCCTTTGACAAAATACAATACACTTTTCTGATTAAGACACACAACAAAATAGGATTAGAGGGGAATTTCTTCAACATAGTAAATAGCATATATATATATACACACAAACCTGAGAGCCAATATTGTTCTCAATGAGATGAGAAAGACTAAAGGCATTCCCTTTGAGAATAGGAGCTAGACAAGAATGCCCACTATCAACTCTCCCGTTCAATATTGTATTAGAAGTCTTAGTGATAGTAATAAACCAAGAGAAGGAAATACGCGGTATTCAAATTGGCAGAGAGGAGGTGAAATTATCTCTATTTGCAGATGATATGATTGTATACTTAGGAAACCCTAAAGACTCAGCAAGAAAACTACTGGATATAGTTGACCAATTCAGCAAAGTGGCAGGATACAAGATCAAACTGAAGATTACCCAAAACCGACTGGAACAGCACATCAACAGAGAACTACCAGAAGTCCAGGCTGGGTTTAGGAGGGGTCGTGGTACTAGGGATATTGTAGCTGATGTTAGATGGATCTTAGCTGAAAGCAGGGAATACCAGAGAAATGTCTACCTGTATTTCACTGACTATGCAAAGGCATTTGTCTGTATGGATCATAACAAACTATGGCTGACTCTGAGAAGAATGGGAATCCTAGAACACTTGATCGTTCTAATGCGAAACCTATACTTGGACAAGGAGGCAGTCGTCAGAACAGAGCAAGGGAACACTGCATGGTTCAAAATTGGGAAGGCTGTACGCTAGGGATGCATCCTATCTCCATACCTTTTCAACC